CCCCCCCCCCCTCCCCCTCGCTCCTTAGTCCCAATCATCACCATGTCGTACTTCAACCAGCAGCAGGCTGCCTCCAACCAGACCTTCATGCAGGTGCGTTCCCGATGGTCGCCTTCTCGCCTGCGCGCTCCCTCCTTTATCTTTCGCTCGTCATCTTCGACGGGCGGTGGGCCCGAGGAACTGGTGCCCTGCCGTTGCTCACCGCCTTCCCCTGCCCGACCCGGGCCTGCCTGGTTTTCCCTCCCGGGCGCCGGCACACGCGCCTCCCTCGGCCTCAGCTCGAGCATGAGATGGAGGCCATGACCGATGTCTTCAACAAGTACGTGTGCTCGCTCCCCTTCCATCGCCTTCCCCCGGTTCCCCGTTCGAACGTCGCGCACTCACCTAGCCTCGCCTGCTGTCGGCCCAATCCAGGATCATCTCCTCCTGCCACACCAAGTGCATCCCGACCAAGTACTCGGAGTCCGACCTGAACAAGGCCGAGTCGGTTTGCGTTGACCGGTGCTTCTCCAAATACATGATTGTCCAGCAGCAGATCGGCAGCAAGCTGCAGGAGCTCAGCCAGAACGTCCAGGAGATGAACGCCGAGGCGGCTGCCCGTGCCAGCCAGTAGGGCCCTCCGGGCCTCTTCGTGGATCGCTGGTCACCTGGTCCCCCTCCCTTCCCTCTCTCTCTATCTCTCTCCCTCTCCCCCCCCCCCTCATTTCTCTCTTCAATCCCACGCTGCCCCAATATATGACACTAGATTCCTGGCCTCCTTCAGCGAGATGTATGCGGATGTGCACATATTTGTGTGTGTGTGTGTGTATGTTTGTGTGTATAAAGAGGGAGAGGGGGAGAAATGTCAGTGTATTGGCTTAGGCGGTGGTGGCTTCAGGCATCATGGGGGTATCCTGCTCAGGTGCCGGGGCATCGCCCCCGGCCGGGGTGTTCGCATCCTGCTGCAAGGAGGTGTCCTGTCCACACAGCGGGGCAGCCGGCTCCGGAGCCGGGGCTCCCTCGAGGATGGCATCTGCACTTGGGGGGATGCCGGCGTCCTGCTGCTCGGGGCCGCCGGGAGAGCCGGGCACCGGGGGCTCGGCCATGGAAGCGCCGGAGTCAGCATCATCGGCAGCCTGGCGCAGCTGCTCCTCGATGCGGCGCTTCTGATGGTCCTTCAGCACGGCGGGCAGGTAGTAAATCTGGATGAGGGTCGGCGGCCGGGCGGGAGGCGCGCCATCCGGGGCCGCCGGCCGCCGGCCAGCCTCCAGGAAGGCTGGCACATAGGTGGTTTTCAAGAAGTTCGGGGCAATATGCTTGTGGCTGCGGTTGGACTGGTCGATGGCCTGTGTAAGGTGGCCCCAGACCATCGGGAGGGGGGGGGGGAGAGAGAGAGGAGCAGACAACGGTGGCCGATGTTGCCCAGATGCTTTGGAGTCAGTGACGGGGCCATGCAGCCGGCAACAGGGTGGCCCGACGGGTGGGGCGGTGCGGGTCGGTGTGCAAGACCGCCGGGCCGGAGGGTAGACCATCGGCGGAGATCGCACCTGGCGGAATTCCGATTCGGCCGGAGTGTCCAAACGGCCGGCAGCCCCCCGGGCCAGGCCTGGGTCGGAGGCCGGCATGGAACCGGCTCTCCCGGAAAAGCCCGGGCCCGGTGGCTGGCCTACGGCGGAGTCCAACGTCGCGGTGATGCCCTGCTGCCGTGCCAGGACTCGCTGCTGGATGCGCAGCCGGCGCTGCTCGAGATCCTCCTCATCGCCCGGGGCCATGAGTGGGGACGCCGCCGAGGCCATTGGAGTGGCGGCGGCGGCGGCGGCGGCGGCCGTGACCGCGGGGACTGCCTCCGAGGCCGTGGACTGGATGTGCTCAAAGGCCGCCGTGGCCACGATCGACGCGGAGCCCAGGTCACGGAGGGCCGCGTTGAACATGCGCCGAGCGGCCTTCGTGGCGCCGACATCCCGGTAGCCCCGTGGGCGGACTTGCGCCGGCGAGGCCTGAGTCGCTTGGGCGAAGCTCGGCCGGACCAGCGACGAGTGCAGCGGCCGTGGCGGCTCGGCGGGCGCCACGTCCTCCGTCATCTCATCTTCTTGCCGGCTGGCGGTGCCGGGAGCCGTAGGGGCAGGGGCGCCCGCGCCCGGGGGGGATGCGCCAGCATCGACACTGCCATCGGCGTCGGCGGTAGGCATGTCATCATCCTGGTCGGAGAGAGACTCCAGGAAGTCCGAGAGGACCTCCTCATTGTCAGGGTGATGTTCGGTGTCCATCGTGCTCTCTCAAGGACAGCCGGGCAACGGGAGCGGCAGGGGGCAAGGGGGGGGGGAG